CCAGAGTTCAAAGACGCGGAATTGGCCGACGATTTCTGATTGGGAGGCAATTTGAGGACGAGCTTGAGCTTTTTCTCGCGGCGCTTCCCGGCCGAAACGTCGTCGTCCTCGTCTTCGCCCTCGTCTTCGTCCTCGTTATCGTCGGGATTAGGGTTGCGGCGGGTGGATCGACGAACCGGAGCCTTGGCGGAGTCGGCAGGGGCAGTCCTGTAATTAGGGTTGGAATGAGGGGCAGAGTTGTTTTTGCGCTTCTGCTGCTGTTGTTGTTGTTGCTGCAGCTGCTGCTCTTGTTCTCTGAGAGTCCGTTTCTGAAGATCTAAAAGAGAGGGCCGTCCTTTCTTCTTCTTCTTCCTCTCCACTACCTTACCCATTTTTGGTGCCCTCTCTCTCTCCCCCTCTCTCTCTCTAGGGAGACAACAAACAGGGTGTTATTTTTTAAAAAAATTAAAAAAAAATTAAAAATTAAAACCAGTTTTTAGTTTATTTGTAATTTTTTTACTTTATTTATTTGTATTTGTATGTGCGCAATGACTTTTGGGACGGAGGGGCATGCGAGTCACGTGATTCTCACACGGCTTTCGCGTGGCGAGTCGACACGTGTTCCGGGGGATGCCAAACTACTCAAGTCGTGTCGGAACGAACCCGGTTCTAGCAACTGACTCGGGTTTTGTCTTTTATCTTCGACTGTCTACGAGGTTTTCTTCTTTTCTGTTTTTTCGGGTCGACACTGACTATGAGGTTCACAGTGTGTTTCAATGTACTTGTTGCTGTTGTGTTATATAACAGAGACGCAGTTTGGCGTGGAAAGATTAGAAATCATAGATTTGGTTTGGGTTAGATTTTGGGTAGAGAAAGTTGGCTTGCTTTTGTTAAGAGTTATCCAAAACATTTAAGAGTGGACTACAGAACATAAATGAGGTGTTACAAGTACAAATTTGCTCTCATTACTTGGTGAAATTTATGAAAAATTATCTAAGTATGTACAGAGCAAATAAGGTAAGAATCCTAAAACAGTTGGATTTCACACCATTTATCCATCAATTTTTTCTTCTCATCATCAAAATGGGGAATTCAGCAAACATTAGTTAGGCCTGTTAGTCAGGATAGTGAGCTCGTTTCTGTGCACCCAAGTTCTAGTCTTCCTTCCCGTATATTAAATTTATTTATAGTTTTTTTTTAATTATCGATGTTTATTTGAAACCTTTTGCTATCTTTGTGATTGGTTTGTTAGTAAAGACTAAGCTCAAAAGATTGAGTATGGACTATGGAATGAGTAACAAACTATGAGGTTTCGAATAACAAAAGGTATTTGCTTGGTTGTAAATGGTATTTCTTACATAGATGAATCGCTAAAATTACGTCTCAAGATTTGCTTAGTTGTGAGTTCATGGCATGGACATCTAGTAAAAAGAAGCATTGGTGATTAAAACTACATCGCATGTGATGATATGACACAAATCATTCGCAGGGTTTCAACTGGACCAAGTGATTGAATTGAAAGAAAGTTTCCTCTTGTTAGACTCTCTGTTTCACGCACACCTATCACAAGTTCCCATTTTGAGAATCAAAACAAAAGTTTCCACCAAATGCCACGCAAATCCTTAAAAAAAGTGTAAAGCTTGATAAAGATGAAGCTATAATGGGACCCACTTTCTTTCCGTGGGCCCAGCGCATTACGTGGTGAGAGGTCAGACCTGGACGGACCGACCTCGTTGTAGCTTTTGAGGAACTAAACCCCCTGTTCTGCAACAAAGTGAAAAATTGTGAAAACCAAAAGAAGCCCAAATGTGTATAGCTGTGTTCGTATGGCAAAACCACCCAATTTACCCGCTCCTTCTGTTGTTCAACAGGGACGAGTTCAAAAGTAGGTGAGTCTGGCGCTTCTGGGTTGTTCTTAATTTTGTGTTTTTTGATTGATTTTGATTTGATTTTGTTGGGTGAATGAGCTAAAAGTACAAAGTGGGTTTGTTTTGGTTGAGTCTAACGCTTCTGGGTTGTTCTTAATTTTATATTTTTCGATTGATTTTGATTTGATTTAATTGGGTGAATGAGCTAAAACTACGAAGTTGGTTTGTTTGGTTTTGGGTTTTGGAGGCCAACAAAGCCTTTGGCATGGTGGGAAGGAGGGAAGATCTTAGGGGGAAGAGATGGGCTGGCAGGAGGGACATGGCTGGCTTGTACCAGAGATGGCAAGGTGGCTTTTATCACAAATGTTAGAGAAGTTGAGAAACTTGCTCAAGCTAAGAGCAGAGGGGACCTCGCAGTTCGGTTCTTGGAGGTGATTTTTGTGTTTAATTTCATATCTACTCTATCTCCCACTCTAGCTGTTTGTTTTTTGTTCTCTATGAGCTGTTGTTAAGAAGCTTGGTTTGCATATTTTGATGGGAATTGGGAACCCATGAATTGAATTTCCTTAGGGACTTTGCCTGCTTTTATGTATTGGATTGCAGTCTGAAATTAATACTCACTCAAGTGAAAACGATTTAAGGTGTAGGTGAAAAAATCATTGAAAATTAGAAATTGAGTAAGGGCTCGTTTGGATTGCAGTCTGAAATCATATCTGTAAGGAGATAATAGGTGGAACATAACATATGCATATATCTGTTTATGTGTTTGTGGAAATTAATACTTACTCAAGTGAAAAAGATTCAAGATTTAAGGTGAAGGTGAAAACTTCACTGAAATGAGGAAGTGGGTGAATAGTTGAAAGGTGGAAATGTACTATAGGGAGTTTTAACTTTGATCATTTCATGTGATTCAATTGCTAACCAATTCTTCAGCTAATATCTAAAAGGAAATTTATTAATGTCCTGTTCTGCTTTCTTTGTCCCTTTTCTGATTCTCTCTGATGAATTCAACAACCATTGGACAATATGAGCTTGTTGCTATTTCTATTTCTTCTAAGCATGTTGATTTCCAGTCAAAATATTCAAATTAATTTTCTGTCAAACTGATCCCTTTTGTTAGAGACAAGATGAGAAATATCACAGATTTCTGTGATTGCAGGGCAAAAAGAGTGCCATGGAGTTTGCTGAGGAAGTTGCGGAGGAGGCAGGTCAGTACAATGGGTTTAATCTAATCTTGGCTGATCTTTGTTCCAAGGCCATGGTTTATGTAACCAACAGACCAAAGGAGGACAAGAGTTTTGTCACCGAGGTCTCACCTGGGATTCATGTACTGTCAAATGCAAAGCTAGATTCTCCTTGGCCTAAGGTACTAAGAAGGCATGTTGATTTGGCTGCATTGCTTTCAAATAGTAAAAATAGATTTCCTCAATGAAGTTGGAGAGCCTTCATTTTTTAGCACAGGACTAATCACATTATCAATTGCTTCATTGTTTGGTTGGTTTGGCTTGTTTGCCTTAACATGGTTGCCATTTGTTCTGTTAGTTAAACCTCAAGCCTTCATTTTGAATCAGCTTCTTCTTTTTCAGGTTCAACGACTAGGGGACAGTTTCAAAGAGCTATTACACGAACGTGGCGGTGACAATGATCTTCCGATGAAAGAAATGGTTGAAAAACTGATGATGAACACGATTAAAGATGATGAGGAAAGCTTGCTGCCTCACGTTTATCCTCCAGAACTGGAATACCATTTGAGTTCCATATTTGTAGAAAAAGCCCCTCAGCTGGTAAATCTAGCTCTCTCTCTTCCCTTCTAGTCTCTGTCTCTGCTTTAAACAATTTCTCACAGGCTTTCTGTTTTTCATAGGGACATTATGGCACCCGAAGCACATCAGCATTGTGTGTGAAGACAAGTGGGGAAGTTACCTACTATGAGAGATATCTGGAAAATGAACTGTGGAAAGAAGGGACAGTAACTTATCACATGGACATGGACAGAGGAGAAGAAGAAAAATAGTCAGTTTATGGTTCCTTTGCTAACCTTAAACCCCATCCCATCTGGGATTTTTCAGACAAAAGGCTTCATTATTGTGGCTAGTTCAGATTTTACAGATTCTATCTGTGCTTACATGTGGGTTTATGGTGCCTTAAACTTATCACTAAGATATGTTCATCTGAAAAGGACTTGTAACTCAAGTGATTAATTCGCCCTGCATCTTAGGTTCGATTCCTCCTTTCCAATATCGCAAGCTAGCTTATATCAAAAGAAAGATATGGATTTACATCTTTCATTAATGGAAATTTTTTGATGTAGTGAGTAATAGCTCTGGTTGTTCGCTGTTCAAGAATTCTTGTTTAGGCAGTGATATAAGCTAGCTTGCATCAAAAGAAAGATATGTTCATATGTGTAAACTATCTGTTTCATTATTAACCAATAACATAAGCATGAGGATCTCACAGCATGAATCTGCAAATTCTTGAAGCCCATCAAACTTTTAGATCCATATGGTTATAACACTGAAGAGTTTTATTGACTTATATATATTTCTACACGACAGAAGACAAACCGTAGTCCTTACATAGAGCCAGAAAGTCTTAAACTACTTTTGATTACATGATACTATAGCATCACAGTTGTGATGGAAACTTCAGCTGTGCAAGCGAATTACACTTTTTCCTATTTCCCCTTAATTAAGCAGCGCATGACACACATGCGCAACCCGTGCCGCACTTGCTGGCGACGCTCTTCGAGCAAGTGCACGGGGAGCACTGTGGTGCTCCCCGCACGAGCACGTCATGTGATCCGTGCCGCACTTGCTGATGACGCTCTTCGAGCAAGTGCACGGGGAGCACTGTGGTGCTCCCCGCACGAGCACGTCATGTGATCCCCACCCCCGCTCGTGGCCTCGGTGGTGTTGGTACACCTGGTAATACGTATAGAATCAATATAAAATTACGTCTCAAAATTCAATTTGGATTCGTATTCGAACATAGGTTACTTGCCTGCAAGTGACCCCACCGGGACAGGGATTTGGGCAGCCGCAACTGTCGTTGCAGCTGGCCTTGATACCTCCGGCTGTGGTTGTATCTGCCATTTTTACTTCTTGGTTGAGACTATTGAGATGAGAGAGAGAGAGAGAGAGCTAGCAGCTAGCCTTGCTTGCACTTGCTTCCTTTTATAGTGCCTCCAAGGCCATGCACCAATGCCATATGGCACAAAGGGTTTTTACAAGAGCAACAAGTGGAATATATCGTGGGTGATTCTAGTTCTTAGGCGGGGTGGAGGTGGCAATATATTTTCATGCATTTCTTGTAGCTGCACCACCTAGGCAATATACATACATATATGCATCAATAACAATATTAATATTATCTGAGGTCCTTTTCTCAGATCATAATTCGCATTTTCTGCCCCAGTAGCAAGAGTGGCATCTGAGAACTCTGAACCAGCACGCTCCAAGGAAGGCCTGCCCAGTGGTTTTTTCAAATTTTTGGTCGGTGGTCTACCTCTTCTTACAACCTTGGGTCCTGGCTCATTATCATCACTATCTTGTCTCAAATTATCAAAATTCTTTTTTGCTAGCTCATGTATGGAGCGCGCCTGGAAAGAAGCCATCAAAGTTCAGACAACACATAGATAGCCTCAAATGAGATAAGAAAAAGAGCTGGATCTAACTGTACCTGCCGAAAATATATGGTATCTGGGGCATTGTACTGCATTGCATTGGAGCAGATTAAGAAGATATCACTCTGCAAAATCATAAATCAAATTTTAATTCTGATGAACCAAAGTTCTTGCAATATTGCAGAGCATCACTCCTTCACCAATGGCCTAATGCAATTCTATGGCTAATTTTTCAATAGTTAAAAACAAAATTACTCGATTCTCCAATGGCCTAATCCAAGTTCTATGCCTATTTTTCAACAGTAGAAAAAATTTGTAATGTAGTACTCTATTAAAAAATATATTTTAGAATAAAGCACATGCATCAGTGAATTCTTGGAACGTATAACTGTTAATCAAGTAGATTGCATAACATCGATACATGGTTAAATTTTTATTGCTTAAACTAAACAAGGAGTGAATTATATGCAGTCTATAACTGCAAAAGCAACATGGCGGTGGCCCAACTTTCAGGGTGGAAACATCTGCTAACCTCCTCCCTGAGCATCCTCCACAATACATCATCTATCACGCACTAAGAACAATATCTGTTTTTGACAAATGCAACAGAACATCTGATCTTTTTGCTTCAGGGGAGGCGATCACAATTACATTGTATCACTAAATTTCAGTGTTTAATCTCCTTTACATAACACTATGCATTCTGCTAAAAACAGCAAGTACGTGTTCCCAAGAACATCGCAACCAAAGAATTTAAATTGAAGGTAGTCCATTAAGTAGGCAAGCAAAGGCACTTAAGAGTTGTGGAAACAACAAATATTTTCCTTCATGCAACATTCTCTATTAAGTCACGGAATGAAGACAAGGAGCCATTTAGAAAAAGATAAGTTGGTAGCCATGGAAATCACTCTAGGTGACGTTACTCTTATTAGGTACAACCATGTTAACAAGCCGAGAGTGAGCCACCCAAGTATATTTCACACTTCTGAACAGAATCTTCATTAACTCTCCCAAGTGAACTAAATTCTAGAACTGGACAGGAAAAGAAAAACACTAAATTCTAGAAGTTAATGCTCCCATTGAGCACTAAAAATAGAAAGTACTTTATATTAACCTATTTGTGGACATTAAGACGAATTACCTACTCTACTAATTATGTAACTTGCCAGAAAAATCAAATGACCGATGAAAAGGTAATAAGACTACAGCTTAAGTGTTTAACATTTAACTAACAACTAATCAAAAGACCTCAATTTTAGCAATACAAAATGCTTATGGCAGTGTTTTCAGAGAAGATTATTATGTGGATTCCTACTTACCACACCTTTTAAACCGTATTACACCAAATCTCTCATAATCAACCCACTGAACCAGCATGGCGAAAACACATCAAACACTGGTACAGGATAAGACCAAAAGCTGACTTGGGGATATAGATCATTCCACTATTATGAACAAAACAGATGATGCAAGGAGGATTTAAAGAAGATGAAATCAGTGTAAGCTGACCTCAAACTGTTCCAAGCTAGTATACACTCCACTAGTAAGTTTCTTCTTCACCGTCCCAAAATCCATAGGATGCTCTATTACTTCATGGTAGTCCGGAAGCTGCACAGCAGAGGAAAAGTTCACTATAAAAAGGGAATCTTGACAACAGTCCTGGATGTTAATGCGTCGCCATTATATAAACTAACCTCTTTGGGGTCCACTGGTTCAGAAAACACACCGTACGTGTCCTTCCTGAAATAATTAAAAAAACAAATATCATCAAACGGGAAACTTAAAGGCCAGAACAAAGTAAGCAAAACACAAATTCAGAAACCCAAAAAACACACTTTTGAAGCCTGTCGAGAACGAACAGCAACAGCTTTTTATCAGGTAAAGGCGTAGAGGGTCCAGAATCCAACGCTGTCCCTCCTGCACATGATTGCAAACTCATTGATGTCAAAAAAATAGCTTCCAAATGCAAATGCGAAATGAAAATTCTTTCCATTATGAGCAAACCTTGGAGGGCGCTTGAAGGGTTTGTAGCTGAAATTGTCTTCTCACCCTGCAAAAGTGAATTAAATTTAGTAACCCAAAACAGCACAGGAGCACTGAACCAAATTTATTTCCATTGTGGGTGAGGAACCACTAGCAAAGTAGCTGTGAAAAGGCAAAGCAACCAGGCATTCAAAGTGCCAAAAGGGGAAAATACAGTTACAAACTGTGAAATAATAAATTATAAAATTAAGAAAAGGAGAAAGGACAAATTTAAACTTTTAGCAGATATGACAGTCAAATCATTATTAGGCTTAGTAAATAAAAGATGAATTTAAGCTAGAGCTTAAAAATCCAGAAAATAAACACCAACAATTATGATCAGTTGAAAAAAATTCAAGAAAGTTATGTAGTTCTGCAAAATTCAAGACCGGAGGGAATTCCTAAAGACGGACCAGGTCAACCCATTTGCTAAGATTCTAGAAAAACCCAAGAAAAAGGTGCGAAATTCAAGGAATATTTGAATTTCCAAATATAATGTCAACGTATATTTTTCCAGACCCCCAGAAAATGACCCCAAAAAAACACAGGGATTTTTGGCGCTTCGAACCCGCGAAAATAAAATACCCCAAACGAAAATCCGACCATTTTAACCCAAAACTTCAATACCTTTTGAGGGTGAGCGAGCCCAGATCCATCGCCGATCGCATTGATTTTGCGCTTCTTATCGACCTCCGGCGCAGCGTTATCGCCATCGGCGTTGGACTCGGAGCCGCCAGAGTTCAAAGACGCGGAATTGGCCGACGATTTCTGATTGGGAGGCAATTTGAGGACGAGCTTGAGCTTTTTTTCGCGGCGCTTCCCGGCCGAAACGTCGTCGTCCTCGTCTTCGCCGTCGTCCTCGTCCTCGTTATCGTCAGGGTTAGGGTTGCGGCGGGTGGATCGACGAACCGGAGCCTTGGCGGAGTCGGCAGGGGCACTCCTGTAATTAGGTTTGGAATGAGGGGCAGAGTTGTTTTTGCGCTTCTGCTGCTGCTCTTGTTCTCTGAGAGTCCGTTTCTGAAGATCTAAAAGAGAGGGCCGTCCTTTCTTCTTCTTCTTCCTCCTCTCCACTACCTTAACCATTTTTGGTGCCCTCTCTCTCTCTCTCCCCCTCTCTCTCTCTAGGGAGACAACAAACAGGGTGTTATTTTTAAAAATAAATAAAAATAAAAATAAAAATAAAATCAGTTTTTAGTATATTTGTAATTTTTTACTTTATTTGTATTCGTATTTGTATGTGCGCAGTGACTTTTGGGACGGAGGGGCATGCGAGTCACGTGATTCCCACACGGCTTTCGCGTGGCGAGTCGACACGCGTTCCGGGGGATGCCAAACTACTCAAGTCGTGTCGGAACGAATCTGGCAACTGACTCGGGTTTTGTCTTTTATCTTCGACTGTCTACGATGTTTTCTTCTTCTCTGTTTTTTCGGGTCGACACTGACTATGAGGTTCACAGTGTGTTTTAATGTACTTGTTGCTGTTGGGTTATATAATAGAGACACAGTTGGGCGTGGAAAATATTAGAAATCATAGATTTGGTTTGGGTTAGATTTTGGGTAGAGAAAGTCGGCTTACTTTTGATAAGAATTATCCAAAACATTTAAGAGTGGACTATAGAACATAAATGAGGTGTTACAAGTTCAAATTTGCTCTCATTACTTGGTGAAATTTATGAAAAACTATCTAAGTATGTGCAAAGAAAATAAGGTAAGAATCCTAAAACGGTTGTATTTCACACCGTTTATCCATCAATTTTTTATTTTTATCATCAAAATGGGGAATTCAGCAAATATTAGTTAAGCTAGTTAGTCAAGATAATGAGCTCGCTTCCTTGCACCCAAGTTCTAGTCTTCCTTCTCGTATATTAAATTTATTTATAGTATTTTTTTTTTACTATCGATGTTTATTTGAAACCTTTTGCTATCTTTGTGATTGGTTTGTTAGTAAAGACTAAGCTCAAAAGACTACGTATGGACTATGGAATGAGTAACTAACTATGAGGTTTCGAATAACAAAAGGTATTTGCTTGGTTGTAAATGGTATTTCTTACATAGATGAATCGGTAAAAAGTAAGTCTCAAGATTTGCTTAGTTGTGAGTTCATGCCATGAAGGGCATCTAGTAACAAGAAGCATTGGTGATTAAGACTACGTCGCATGTGATGATATGACACAAATCATTCGCAGCGGTTCAACTGGACCAAGTGATTGAAAGAAAGTTTCCTCTTTTAGACTCTGTGTTTCACGCACACCTATCTCAGGTTCCCATTTTGAGAATCAAAACAAAAGCTTCCACCAAATCCCACAAAATCCTGAAAAAAAAGTGTGAAGCTTGATAAAGATGAAGCTATAATGGGACCCACTTTCTTTCCGTGGGTCCAGCGCATAACGTGGTGAGAGGTCAGACTTGGACGGACCGACCGACCTCGCTTTGAGGAACCAAACCCTCTGTTCTGCAACAAAGTGAAAAATTGTGAAAACCAAAAGAAGCCCAAATGTGTATAGCTGTGTTCGTATGGCAAACCCACCCAATTTACCCGCTCCTTCTGTTGTTCAACAGGGACGAGTTTAAAAGTAGGTGAGTCTGGCGCTTCTGGGTTGTTCTTAATTTTGTGTTTTTTGATTGATTTTGATTTGATTTTGTTGGGTGAATGAGCTAAAAGTACAAAGTGGGTTTGTTTTGGTTGAGTCTAACGCTTCTGGGGTTGTTCTTAATTTTATATTTTTTGATTGATTTTGATTTGATTTAATTGGGTAAATGAGCTAAAACTACGAAGTTGGTTTGTTTGGTTTTGGGTTTTGGAGGCCAACAAAGCCTTTGGCATGGTGGGAAGGAGGGAAGATCTTAGGGGGAAGAGATGGGCTGGCAGGAGGGACATGGCTGGCTTGTACCAGAGATGGCAAGGTGGCTTTTATCACAAATGTTAGAGAAGTTGAGAAACTTGCTCAAGCTAAGAGCAGAGGGGACCTCGCAGTTCGGTTCTTGGAGGTGATTTTTGTGTTTAATTTCATATCTACTCTATCTCCCACTCTAGCTGTTTGTTTTTTGTTCTCTATGAGCTGTTGTTAAGAAGCTTGGTTTGCATATTTTGATGGGAATTGGGAACCCATGAATTGAATTTCCTTAGGGACTTTGCCTGCTTTTATGTATTGGATTGCAGTCTGAAATTAATACTCACTCAAGTGAAAAAGATTCAAGATTTAAGGTGTAGGTGAAAAAATCATTGAAAATTAGAAATTGAGTAAGGGCTCGTTTGGATTGCAGTCTGAAATCGTATCTGTAAGGAGATAATAGGTGGAACATAATATATGCATATATCTGTTTATGTCTTTGTGGAAATTAATACTTACTCAAGTGAAAAAGATTCAAAATTTAAGGCGAAGGTGAAAACTTCACTGAAATGAGGAAGTGGGTAAGTAGTTGAAAGGTGGAAATGTACTATAGGGAGTTTTAACTTTGATCATTTCATGTGATTCAATTGCTAACCAATTCTTCAGCTAATATCTAAAAGGAAATTTATTAATGTCCTGTTCTGCTTTCTTTGTCCCTTTTCTGATTCTCTCTGATGAATTCAACAACCATTGGACAATATGAGCTTGTTGCTATTTATATTTCTTCTAAGCATGTTGATTTCCAGTCCAAATATTCAAATTAATTTTCTGTCAAACTGATCCCTTTAGTTAGAGACAAGATGAGAAATATCACAGATTTCTGTGATTGCAGGGCAAAAGGAGTGCCATGGAGTTTGCTGAGGAAGTTGCGGAGGAGGCAGGTCAGTACAATGGGTATAATCTGATCTTGGCTGATCTTTGTTCCATGGCCATGGTTTATGTAACCAACAGACCAAAGGAGGACAAGAGTTTTGTCACCGAGGTCTCACCTGGGATTCATGTACTGTCAAATGCAAAGCAAGATTCTCCTTGGCCTAAGGTACTAAGAAGGCATGTTGATTTGGCTGCATTGCTTTCAAATAGTAAAAATAGATTCCTCAATGAAGTTGGAGAGCCTTCATTTTTTAGCACAGGACTAATCACATAATCAATTGCTTCATTGTTTGGTTGGTTTGGTTTGTTTGCTTTAACATGGTTGCCATTTGTTCTGTTAGTTAAACCTCAAGCCTTCATTTTGAATCAGCTTCTTCTTTTTCAGGTTCAACGACTAGGCGACAGTTTCAAAGAGCTATTACACGAACGTGGCGGCGACAATGATCTTCCGATGAAAGAAATGGTTGAAAAACTGATGATGAACACGATTAAAGATGATGAAGAAAGCTTGCTGCCTCACGTTCATCCTCCAGAACTGGAATACCATTTGAGCTCCATATTTGTAGAAAAAGCCCCTCAGCTGGTAAATCTAGCTCTCTCTCTTCCCTTCTAGTCTCTGTCTCTGTCTCTGCTTTAAAACAATTTCTCAAAGGCTTTCTGTTTTCCATAGGGACATTATGGCACCAGAAGCACATCAGCATTTTGTGTGAAGACAAGTGGGGAAGTTACCTACTATGAGAGGTATCTGGAAAATGAACTGTGGAAAGAAGGGACAGTAACTTATCACATGGACATGGACAGAGGAGAAGAAGAAAAATAGTGAGTTTATGGTTCCTTTGCTAACCTTAAACCCAATCCCATCTAGAATTTTTCAGACAAAAGGCTTCATTATTGTGGCTAGTTCAGATTTTACAGATTCTATCTGTGCTTGCATGTGGGTTTATGGTGCCTTAAACTTATCACTAAGATATATGTTCATCTGAAAATGACTCGTAACTCAAGTGATTAATTTGCCCTGCATCTTAGGTTCGATTCCTCCTTTCCAATATCGCAAGCTAGCTTATATCAAAAGAAAGATATGTTCATATGTGTAAACTATCTGTTTCATTATTAACCAATAACATAAGCATGAGGATCTCACAGCATGAATCCGCAAATTCTTGAAGCCCATCAAACTTTTAGATCCATATGGTTATAACACTGAAGAGTTTTATTGACTTATATATATTTCTACAAGACAGAATACAAACCATAGTCCTTACATAGAGCCAGAAAGTCTTAAACTACTTTCGATTACATGATACTATAGCATCACAGTTGTGATGGAAACTTCAGCTGTGCAAGCGAATTACGCTCTTTCCTATTTCCCCTTAATTATGCAGCGCATGACACACATGCGCAACCCGTGCCGCACTTGCAGTAGGCCTTCCCGGTCCTGGTGCTGACGACGCTCTTCGCGCAAGTGCACGGGTTGCAGCCACAGTGCTCTCCGCACGAGCACGTCATGTGATCCCCGCCCCCGCTCGTGGCCTCGGTGGTGTTGGTGGTACACCTGGTAATACGTATAGAATCAATATAAAATTACGTCTCAAAATTCAATTTGGATTCGTATTCGAACATAGGTTACTTGCCTGCAAGTGACCCCACCGGGACAGGGATTTGGGCAGCCGCAACTATCGTTGCAGCTGGCCTTGATACCTCCGGCTGTGGTTGTATCTGCCATTTTTACTTCTTGGTTGAGATTACTGAGATGAGAGAGAGAGAGCTAGCAGCTAGCCTTGTACTCCCCTTGCTTCCTTTTATAGTGCCTCCCAGGGCCATGCACCAATGCCATATGGCACTAAGAAAGAGCAACAAGTGGAATATATCGTGGGTGATTCTAGATTTTAGGCGTGGTGGAGGTGGCAATATATTTTCATGCATTTCTTGTAGCTGCACCACGTAGACAATATATATATATGCATCAATAATAATATTAACATTATTTTTTTGTTGTTACGTAAGACGACGAAAAGTTAATGTCTTGAAAATTCCAGGCTCCATGGCTGATCTCATCCTCCTGACTTAAAAAGTCAAAATGCTATCTCCAAGTTTGACTTTCTCTTGATCCTTCTTCGGTGTATTTTGGATTTTATATCTCGGAATATAATAAAAGAAAGGGAAACTCCAATTTAATATTTTCATTTGACGTAACTAAAGACTCATTTTATAATTATTTTAATTATTCTCTAAAATTAAAATAATTATCAAACGGAACCTAAATTTTCAAATTACTTATTTCTTCAGGGTTGATTCGGTTGTGCAGCCCTACTCGAAAGTTATTTTTATATGCAACTACGACCATTTTCAAGAGGTTC